CCCCCGCCCCCCAGCCTCATCTCCCATCCCCTCCCTAGCCCATCCTGTGCTCTAGCCACAAAGCATTGTTGGCTGGCCCCAACCCCACTAAAATTCTTTCACACCTCCAAAGGTTTGCTCTTGCTGTTTCGTCTGCTGGGAGTGTCCTTCCCCTCTCCCCCACTTCCTCTGCCTGATCAAATTTTTCTTGTCTTCCAGTATCTAAGTGACACGTCCCCTGTAACTCTTCAAATCACTGATGCAGAATGGATGGCCCCCATTTTGGCCTTCCACAGCAATTTGTTTAAACTTTTCACACTGCACCGTGGTTGGCAATTTACCCTTCTTCCTCCGCACCAATCTGCTGACTTTCGGAGGATAGGGATTGTATCCGTAGTGTTCCGGTAAACCGGTTCTCAAAAAAAAAAAAAAAAAAAAAAATCCTGATTTGTAGCATTTCCCCATTTCCACGGTATAAATACTCTCATTAGGGCCCATTTCAAGCTACCAGTGTAAAATCACTGAACAAGGAATTAGGAATGGATGCATACAACTGGCTTTTGTGAGCCGATAGGAGCCAGCTCAGCACACCCTGGAGGGTATCCTAATCTTTGAAACCCAAGGTCGAGCACTGAGTGTGATGTTTAACAGGCCTTCAACAAATGATTCGTGTGTATGGCATGCATGTGTCATGGGGGGCACCTGAAAGGCGAAGTGTGTGGCGCTCGAAATCAGAATAAAAACACTGTGTGGGCCTTGCATGATTGTGGGTGCCATTAACTCCTCCTCCTCATTCCTGAAATCAAACCTTCACATTCCTTCTGTTCCAGATGCAGATTGAGTTCATAAAACAAGGAAGCATGAATTTCAGATTCATCCCTGTGCTCTTCCCAAACGCTAAGAAGGTAAACAAAGAAATAAGCACACATACAAACCTTAACAATTTGAGCTTTGCTTTGTCTGCTATCTGGGATTTTAAGTGGAAAAGCTTGTGAACTCTTTATCAGTCGTTAGAGATAACAGTGTTACCAGAAAGATCCACAGGTCGTAGCGCGCTCAGCTCAGCTGCATGGATCAGGAAGGTTTTAAGACGTTATCTGATAGACCATCGCTGCCCTAATTGTTCAAACAGCCATTACAGACAAAGAAGTAGTTTGTGTTTTAACTCACGAGAGAAAAAGAGGCTGTTCATCTGATACTTCTTATCTCTTGTACATAAAAGTCAAGATATGTACATTTTTTGCTGACTAGCCACAGAAGTCTTTTGGTGCACATAGCTCAGCTCTCAAAGCTGTAGATGAAAGGAATTAAATCTACACAGTTGCCAAAGTGAGCTTTGCTGTGGTTCGTATGTGGGTTTTTGCCCCAGAAGAGCATGTCAGCAGGTTAGGGGAGGGAGGACAGAAACCATCTGAAGCCACGTTCCAGGCTTGGCAAAGGGAAGACAGAGGTGTGGTGGATGTCTTGAGAGTTGGAGCACAGCACCCTGAGCCCAGGCCCAGCTGCACCCTGGAGGATCCCTAAATGTCAGGACTGCCTTGAGACTCAGGTGCTGAAGGAGGGAGAGTCCAGCTGATACGAATGGGATGCCTCCAGTTACAAAGCTCACACCCTGTGCGATGGTATGCATGTCCATCCCTTGCCCAGGATCTCAAAGCCCCGCTGCAGCATCTCCTGACTGGTCTCCCTAGCCATCGTCTGCACCACCGTCAAAGAGGAACATCCAAAATGTAGATCTCCCCTGTCTCGCCCCAGCTTAGAAATCGTGTGGCGGATTCCAACCAACCACGGGATCATATCCACCTTTCTTAGCGTGACAGATGAGGCCCCTGAGAAGAGGGCTGTGCCCACATGCTCAGTCTCCTCTCCCGACCGTGTGCACAGTGACTATGCTCGGGTCGTACTGGGCTATTTCAGCATGCCCTCACACCTACCGTGTTTTTCCATGTTTCTGTGCCTGCGCACTTTCTGTTCCCCCCGCTTACAATGCCCTTCCCTGACTTGTCTGTGTAGTCAACTCTTGCCTATACTTATATCACCCAATCTGTCTAGCCTCTCCTGACTTCTCGTCCCCTTTGCCAATACTCTTGAGCTCTCTCAGTCGTAGTGCCTTGAGTCAATGTGGTTGGGGGTGGATGCACTGTTGGGAATATGGTGATGGAAAAGGAGACCGACTTTTAGTTGGTTTTATTAATGTTTTTAAAACTTCGTCAGACAGTCCCTTGTGGCCTGTGCTCCCACCTCCTGCCCCGTTGGTACACTATTGCCTGGAAAATAGTTTCTTTACATCTTCATTCACATTCCAACATTAGACTGTGAACTCCTCAAGACAGTAACTGTGTCTTTTCCTTTGGGTGTCATCAACACCTAGCACCATGCCTGACACATAGCATGTGCTGCTTCTGGGTGTATCCGGCAGTCCCCAAAGGGATCCCATCTCCTCAGAGAAAAGCCTACAAGGCCCCATGGGACACGGGCCCCCCTACTTCCAGACCTCCTCTCCTACTCTATTTCACTCACTCCTCTCTGGCCACACTGGCCTGTTGCTCCTTAAACAGGCCAGGCACGCCCCCGTCACAGGGCCTCTGCACTGTCTGGACCCAGACATCCACAAAGCTGGCCCCTTCTGCTCTTTTAGGTCTTTGCTCATTTTCTCTGTGAGACCTTTCCTATACACTCTGTTTAAAAAAAAAATTTTTTTTTAATGTTTATTTATTTTTGACAGAGAGACAGAGAGAGAGAGAGAGCATAAGCAGGGGAGGGACAGAGAGGGAGGGAGACACAGAATCTGAAGCAGGCTCCAGGCTCTGAGCTGTCAGCACAGAGCCTGATGCGGGGCTCAAACCCATGAACTGTGAGGTCATGCCCTGAGCCGAAGTCGGACGCTCAACCCACTGAGCCATCCAGGCGCCCCTCCTACACGCTCTGTTTAAAGCTGTAACCTTTCAGCCCTGCCCCAGCACTCCCTAGTCCCTTTCTCTGTTTCATTTTTCTCCGAGGCATGTATCACCATCAAACACACTATACGTTTTCCTGATTCGTCGTCTGTCTGTCCACGCCACAGCAGACAGAATGTCCACTCCACGAGGGTGGTCAGAAAGCGCACCCTCACGATCCCCGGCTCACGCTTTGTGCTTTTTGCCTGCTAACAGATCTGCTGGGCTCCTGCTGCTGCAGGCCAGATCTGTGGCTGAAACGAATTAGATTAAGCCCCTAGCCTTGGCATTCTTCTGAAGCCACGAAGGAATTCCCATCACTCTGCGTGACCTCTGTCCTACCCCTTTTATGTGAGGGTGGTGAAAAGCACGTTGAAATGCAAAGGGCAGGTAGCCTGGGAGGCTGACAGAAAACGCCGCGCACATGTGGTTTCCATAATGAGATATTCAGCTTGTACGCGGAGCCAGGAGAGGCTCACATGCTAGCCCTTTCCAAAAGCAAAACAGCACAACTCCCAGGATAGTTCGGCAGGGAACGCCCATGCAGGGAAAGCCGTAGATGTTTGGGAACGGAGCCGGGGATCTGGAATCCAGGTTTTTCTCTAATGGCCTTTACTCCTGTCATTCTCTCTCCCATAGGAGCATGTGCCCACCTGGCTTCAGAACACTCACATCTACAGCTGGCCCAAGAATAAAAAAAACATCCTGCTGCGGCTGCTCAGAGAGGAAGAGTACATAGCCCCTCCCCGGGGGCCTCTGCCCACCCTTCAGGTGGTACCCTTGTGACCCCCACCATCCCCAGAGCCCCAGGGCCATGCTGTGTGTGTGTACTTACAAGCACTCTTCTAGCAGAGGCTGTTCGTTTGCAGGCCCTCTCAGAGGGCTCCCCCCAACCCCAGAAAACCTGTTCTGCAGAGCATTCTTCCTCCAGAGACCTCCTTTCAGACAGAGGCCATGTTGCTCTGCCTTCCCTACTGCTAACACCCACGGCATGTTGCTCCTAACTGATGTGTCCATTCTGGGCCTCTCACTGCTTAGCGAGTAGATCATATAAATGATGTTGCGATAAATGTAAACGGACCACAAACGCTCTCCCATCGCTTAGGGCTATTTTTATGAGTTAGCCAGATGTTCTTGTGTCCTCAGACCAACCTGATTCGTGTACAGATAATAAAATGTTTACTCTTTTGTAAGACTGTATTTTACTTATCTCAAAGGAGATAGATGTGTATTAATTCCTGATGAGATGGGCAGTTGCTTCCGGGGATGTTAGTAAAGCTGCTTAGATGTAATATTAGATACATGTAACAGACTAGTCTGTATTAAAGGATTAGAGCCAGATAGTTGAACAATCCCTTTTCACATAATCTTGAAAGCTTTATTGTTGCAGTAGAACTTTTTAACAAAACCACTTGTGCAACCACCGTGATACGTGTATACCTAAGAGTATCCTCTATGGTCAGGAGTGGCCGTGGATGTAGAAGTTTGGCTGGAATGGTGGTTTGTGTTCTAGTCTTGCTTCTATCACTAACTAGCCATGTGACCTTAGGCAAGTCCTTTCACTTTTCTGAAACCCCGAGGACTCCGTTATAAACTGACATGGACAGGGGTGCCAGGGTGGCTCAAGCACTTAAGTGTCCCACTTTTAATCTCAGTTCAGGTCTTGATCTCAGGGTCATGAGTGCAAGCCCCTCGTTGGGCTCTGTGCTGGGATGAAGCCTACCCAAAACAAAATCACATGGACAGATGTACCTCTAACGGCCCTAAATGGTTGAAGGTCTGGGACCTAAGTTCTAAATACTCTTTTGAGGAATGACTGAGTTGTCATAATTATATCTCCCAGAGGATAAATTTAAATTTTCTTAACAAGGACATTTTCTTCTTTTTAAAATCTCTTCTCTTTAAATCTCTCCAGTCCCTCACATGCATAATTTTAGAAACACGTACACCTTGCTCATCTGATTCCAAAAAACACACAAACACACCTGTATATGAAGTATGTGTATAATCTACATAAACTATTGAGCAAGGTGGTATTACGTTAATTATGGCCTAAGTAGTAAGCTAATATGAAGATTCTGGGGGGGGGGGAGGGGAGGGGGGAGGGGTGCTACTGCTTCCTGTTACCGATCTATCTAATCTCTTAAACAAGGCTCAATTGTGCTGTGAGATAGTTCAACCTTGGTATGTCGCCACAGAGAAAAGACAAATATGTACCAACTATAAATAAGCAAGTTTGCTAATGAATTGTAAAGAACACTAGTTTCATTTACGTTGTAACCTAGAGGTCTTCTGGGTGGTAAGGTGAATGTCTTTGTGTTGAAAAAAAAAAAAATAGGGAAAGGATAAAAGCTAGGATCCCTTAAGGAATCATTTGTAAGATGAACACAAGCATCTTCAGCTCCGTAGCATTTGAGACCCGGTTGAACTCTCTCTTGTTTGATTAACTCAAAATGCCTAAGAAAACACCCCGAACACAAACTTCAAGTCTTTCTCTCTTTTTAAATCTTTTTTGGAGGTGACACGATCATTAAGGATTCACACCCTTGTAAATAAAATGACATCCGTAATTACTACCCTCAAATGTGTCTAGTTTGCAAGGTTTAATAATGGGACGTTGTTACCCCTCCTCCCTTCGGAGACCTGTCCTGAGCCCTCAGCCACTGTTCCTACCCGGGGTTATTCCCTGGTGTTCCACAAACATTCATTAAAGTGTTACAGCTGGGAGCACTAGTAGCAAAACAAACAAACAAAAAATAAACACACACACACACACAACACCTGGCCAAGTGATGAAAGTTGGACCCTTGAAGTTTCTAAGAAATTTGATGACCACGGATATCAAAGGAATTTTAACAACTATTATAGAGCACTGACACTAGGATTAACACTTGGTTTATTTAGATGTTATCCCTGTCCTCTGCGTTCATCTGCAGATATTTTGGGCGTGGAAGTGAGGTAGGGCTGACTCAGTAAAAATAACCCTTTAGCCTCAAGGCTTGATTCAGACCAAAACTGATTTTAGCAGTGAGGTGTGCACAATGCAAGGTCAGATTCTTAAGTCTAATATTTAGTGACTCACTTAAAATTTGAAATGTAATTTTTTAATTTCAGTGACCGGCTTCAAAATCTATGCCGAGTTCCTTTGACTTCTGTATCATTTAACGGCATCTCAGTGCATGGCTACAATCTAAGTATTGGACTGGCTACTTCTCAGTTCAGTGCTCAGAAAAATTATTGTTGTTGATACTCTTTTCTTTTTTTTTTTTTCCTATTAAAGAAATCACCTACTTAAAGATTGGGTTTTTCTTAGTCATCTCAGCAAGGGAGGAAAGCCCTCGGCTCTGAGCACTCCAGACCTTGTTTCATGATGTTTTGCCAAGAGCATTTTTCTTAACCTCAGCCACTTCATTAGCCACCTCCACCCACTTTGCCAAACACCCCATTGTCACCATCACCTTTGCCAAAGGGATTGCAAAAGTCCTGTGATCGTTGGGAAATGATCCAGAAAGAGTTTCTCAAAACACAGGATCTTTCTGTTTCTTCCTAATGAACCAAGAAGAATCACTGAGACCCACCTCCTAGCGGCAAATGAAAAGAGGAGGAAGGTTAGACTGTGGGAAAATGGCACAAAGAAAAAACGCCTCTCATCCTGAAGAATTAGGCGCTACGTTTCAAGATCAGTGGCTCTATATGAGCCCAGGAAATAAACTAAAACAAAAACCAGAAAGGAAGAAAGAAAGCACAGAAATAAATGTAATTCTTAAATCATTTATTTCTGGAACCATTTGGAATTTTCCATCTGAAAAGGACCCGGGAAATCCAGCACCTCTACAGTGTGGTTTCATGCGTGAGAAAAGTGGGACCCACAGACACCTAAGCTTGTTTAAGTTTGCCCCGTGGCTGGAACCCAGATAGCCTGATTTCTAGTCTGCAGACATTTGTTTGATAAACCTAGAAGGCTTTCTGGCTTTTGACTGGAGATTTGTTCAACAAATGACCCAGGGTCTCCTGGAGGTAAACTGAGCCTCGTGAAAGAAGGACGCCTGAGGGAAGATGCATCTCTGTCCTCTGGTGGCTGGAGGATTAAATGATCATGTTGCAACTTGTTCTGTGGGAAATTCTTGGGGGAATTAATTATTGCTGTGATTATATGGAGTGTAACTTTTCTTGAAGTAGTGTGGCATATTTATTTTATACTAGTATTATATAAAACCAAAGCACAATTGAAAAGATCTTGGCACCTCCCTGAAGCTTCCAGATACAATCTGCTATTAGATCGATTTTGTTTCAGTTTTATCTGGCCAATCTCCAAGGCAAAAACAATGAAACGTGCTTTTATTTTTTAAATACCGTGGTATTCATCTTTCCCTCCTGCTTCTGATTCTATAAGAGTAGCGCTTGTTGGAATAATACATAGCTGTTTGGAAAATGCATTACCTTTCAGAAGAAACAAGGAGAAAGGTGTGGGTTATAACTCTCCTGTGGGTGGGGGGAGGCTTCAGGAAAGGTACGTTTTATCAGGAAGCACAGCAACAACACAAAAGAGCCTCGCCCAAAAGGCTAGCAATGGTCCTAGGACAGGAACATAGTTCCTAAGGTAGCATGTTCCTAACTTCGTGCTGATTTGTTCCATTTTCTTTAAAAATTTTTTTTCTCTTTTTTAACGTTTATTTATTTTTGAGACAGAGAGAGACAGAG